CAAAGAGGTTGTACTAGTTTGCATTCCCACCTGCAGTGTAGAAATGTTCCTCTTTCTCCACATTCTCACCAGCAACTGTTGTTGTTTGTTTTATTAATGATGACCATTCTTACTAGGATTAGATGGTATCTCAATGTGTTTTTGATTTGCATTTCTCTGGTGATTAGTGAGGCTGAGCACTTTTTCATGTGTCTGTTGGCTGCCCATATATTCTTCTTTTGATAGTGTCTCTTCATATCTTTTGCCTACTTTTTAATGGGGCTGTTTTATTTTATTTTATTTATTTATTTATTTATGGCGCATTTAAGTTCCTTATAGATTATAAAGGTTAGGCCTTTGTCAGATATGCAGTTGGCAAATATTTTTTTCCCCTTCTATGGGCTGTCTCCCCACTCTCTTGATGGTTTCTTTTGCTTTGCAGAAGTTTGTCAGTTTGATGAGGTCTCTCTTGTCTATCTTATCCTTTATGGTATGGGCACTTGGGGTTTTGATCAGGAATTGGTTGCCAGTTCCAATTTCCATAAGAGTGTCTCTGCAGTTTGAAGTCTGGAAGTGTGATAACTCCTGCTTTCTTTTGCTATGGATTGTTTTGTCTATTCTTGGTTGTTTATGTTTCCATATGAATTTCTGTATTGTCATTTCCAGGTATGAGAAGAATAATGTTGATAATTTAAAGGGTATTACATTGAATCTGTAGATTGCCTTTGGTAGCTGCCCATTCTCACTCCTCTTGTTCAACATTGTGTTGGAAGTTATAGATAGACCAATTAGACATGAGACAGATATCAGGGGTCTCCAAATAGGAAAAGAGAAAGTTAAGTTATCCCTCTTTGCTGACGATATGGTCCTATACCTCAAAAATTCAAGAGAATCTGTTCAAAAACCTGCTTGTGCTGATAAAGGACTTTGGCAAAATCTTGGGATACAAAATAAATGTGCAAAATACAGTTGTGTTCCTATACACCAACAACAAGCAGGCAGAGAATCAAATAAAAAGCACAATCCCATTCACAATAGCAACACAAAAAATGAAATACCTCAGCATCTTCCTAACCAGAGAAGTGTAAGACCTTTACTATGAGAACTACAAAACACTGCTCAAAGAAATCCAAAAAGACACGAACAAATGAAAAAAAATATTTCATGCCTACGTATAGGAAGAATCAACATTGGTAAGATGTCCATCATTTCGTCTTAAAATGAGTTACCCACTGGTAAACTGCTGATTTATTTAAGGTGTTGTTTTTGTATACTTTCTGTAAAGCATCAATGACTTCACCATTTTTCCACCCAGACTTCATCATAAATTTTATGTTTATCCTTGCTTTGATTTTAGCAGAATTCATATTGCACTGATAGGAGCTCTTTTTAAATGGGTGCCTTGTCCTTCTTAATGCTTCAAATTAGATTCTGTTTAGAAATGTTATAACAAATTATTATGAGTTTGTTTTGAATCAAAATAATTTTGAAACCTATGCATAGTTTTTGCAAAATGAGCATTTTCCATGAACTTATTGAAGATACCTCCTGTATGCCACTGGTTTTGTTTCTCTGAGGACCTTCATATATCCTAATACACATGGCTTGGAATGAGGTAAGCCATAAAACAAAGAATTCTGAACCTCCCTCTAAAAAACACTGACTTTATTGTCAATGGTGTGGAAAAGTTTGAATTTAATGGCACTATAACAAAATTACAGAAGTTGTGAATAAAATCCCATGGAGAAAATGGCAGATTTATTAAAGATATGGGCTAAACTTTAAGCTGTATAGCTTCCTGGAGAGAATATGGGAAAGAGATATTTGAGAGGGTCCCATCTGGGTTCTGAACAAATCTGAAACAATGACCACTTTAAAAGAGCACAAATGGGACTTTCTGGGTCTGTGAAGAGATATATGCCCCACAGCATTACTTAATACAATAGAGAAATCAGCCTGTAAGTCGTGGAACTAAATAGTTAGATGTGGTCATGAAAAGAAAGAGCAAAAGAAATTCCTAATAAAACCACTGTCATCTCAATCCAGAAGCTCAACAAACTCAAATTGTGTAAGCACAGAGCCATGCACAGATATGTCAAAGTCAAAATACTGAAAGACAAAGACAAATAGAATATATTGAAAGTAGCAAAAGAAAAATGTCTCTTCACTTACAAAGGAATCCCAGTAAGACTAACAACTAACTTTTCATCAGAAACACTGGAGACCAGAAGGCAATGAAAAACATATTCAAAGTATTTGAAGAAAAAAAAAAATTCGCCAATTTTTTTGTGTAAATATAGTACCCTAAAAAGGGTAAAAAAAAGCTATGTAAATATGATATTTCTGTGTTTACCTGAAGTTGCATTAATCTGAAGCTGATTCTGGTAAGTTAAAATGTTTATAGTGGCTGGGCATGGTGGGTCACGCTTGTAATCCCAGCCCTTTAGGAGGTTGAGGCAAGATGATTATTTAAGCTCAGGAGTTAAAGACCAGCCTAGACAACATAGCAAAACTTCATCTTTTCAAAAATTGAGAAGTTAGCTGGACATGGTGACGCATGCCTGTATCCCAGTGACTTAGAAGGCTAAGGTGGAAGAATCACCTGAGTCCAAAGGGTCAAGACTGTGGTGAGCCATGATCCTGCCACTGCCTCCAGCCTGGGCGACAGAGTAAAACCCTGACTAAATAAATAAATAAAGGTTACCATAAAGCCTAGAACAATCACTAAGGAATACAGTTGATTTGCATTATTCATGGTAGTTATGTTTTATAAAGTCTCTGTGAACACTGAATTAGCAAATAATGAATTAATGCCCTGGGAGAATACACAGTTGGGTTGCTGTGAACAGCTGGTCACAACATTTTTGTTAACTGATTAATATATTACCTTGTTTTATTTGCTTATTTTTAGAGGTTTCTGATTGAATATATATTGTTAGTTCGTTAACATTGAACTTAGGGTGAATAGCACTGTTATTCAAGCTGAATAAAACATATTTAACACATGTATTTTCTCCATAAGGCACATCATAGCCCTCTTGCACTGCTAGACGGTACTTCAGCACTGCACTTTGGGAGCCATTTGTAAAAGCAAAATCACCAACAAACACCACAAAAATGCAAAAAGCGTAGCCCTCAGTAGACCATGGAAAGGACATGTGTCTACAATATGACAATTGAGACGAAAAGGCAAAGTGTTGCCTTGCTCCATCTCAGCTGGAAACATGCACATCTGGGGATTTAAATGTTCCATCTTTCTGCACATGCCCGTGTTTAGAATAGCAACAAATGTGTCATGAGTACTTATTTTGGGGTTACAAATTTTTGCAAGTAAGCAAATTCATAAACGCAGAAATCATGAATAATGAAGATCAACTATAACTTTAAGCAATACCTGATGAATTGAGTGATTTTCCTTGACTACTAATTTTTAGCAACTCTCTTTGGTTTCTATTCCAACATATGCCCTTGCCATGTCTATCCACATTATGACTTCCTTCCCTGTAACTTTGGGTTTTGTGTGTTTTTATTGGGGAGCTCTGTCTAATTTACATAGTGTAATGTTAAGCACAGATATGCTTGCTAAATTATTGTGCATTAAATGTTAAAAATAATAAAATATGACTTCCTTAGAATATATTCATATCCACGAGCATGTATGTAACTATGTAGGTATCTATCACTTGTATATATAAATATGTCTATGTATAAATATATGAGTGTGTGTGCAAATAGATAATGCTGTTAGAAAAAGTAAATACTTTATTTCTTTTTGTGTTTATCAAAACATTAATCAGCAAAATAGCCTTGAAAAGTAATAATTAAAATTTCACATGTGGAGAGGAGAAATTAAAGCACAGTCATTAGCCAGACATGGTGGCACACTTGTAGTCCCAGTTACTCAAGAGGCTGAGGTGGGAGGATCACTTGAGTTTAAGAGTTTGAGGCTGCAGTGAGCTCTGATCACACCACTGCACTCCAGCCTGGGCTATGGAACAAGACCCTGTCTCTAAAAAAATCAAATGAAATAAATTTTTAACAAGCACAGCCAAAATATAAATGTATCATAGAATATCAAATGATTATAGCTATGACATCATAGGGTACAACAAAAAAGATATTAATTTGCTGTTTAATGTGCTAGTTAATTCTGTCTACTTTCTCTTAACAATATAGATCCAGAAACAAGCTACCTTTTAAATTAGAAGAAACAAAATGCAGCACATTGAGATGTAAATTAGAAAAGAAAATTAACTCATACATTATTATTGCAATGTTGTGTTTGCATAGTAGTTGAGGAAATAAACATTTGCCTGTTTCTACTGACTGTTTTAAAAAAATTTAAAGATGCACAGGTTGTAGCAGAAGAATTTGTGCTAGTAAAGAGTAAAGATCTAAATACATAAGATCATTAAATGTTTATTAATTGCCAGATGAATAAAGAATTGTTACACTATCTTGGATGGGCGTTGATAAGAGAAGCAGTATGTGACTCTGTGACCACTATGTGCATTTTTGTGGAGAGCGGAACCATTGCTCTAAAATGTTAGAATCGCTTTGCTGGTAGACAGATGTCAGTTGCCTTGTGGTCATAGTCCTATCAGGAATTTGCATGAGAAATGGGAGAAAGGTAAGAGATGAGGTATTAAGTGCAATCAATATTCAACAGATATGTAATGAGAACCATTTTTGCTATTTTTTGCCAGGGATGCAATTTTAATAGAAGCACAGAGTCCATGAAACTCTTCTACATAACTTTTAGACCATTTCAAAATGTAACAATATCATCTGCAACCAAGTGATATTGAGGGCATAATATAATACTTTTTTTTGTTCTTTGTTTTTGGTTACAGTTAATTAGAAATGGTACAATTATTCCATGGAAAGTTGTTTCAGACAATGAGAACTGATACATATCCAGTGGAAAGTAGTTTAAGCCAGTGACAACTGATCATTGTTTAAGCACTCCAGTGTAGAGCATCCATACTGCACACAAAGTAAAAAATATTTTTTCTTTCAAGGTAACTGAACTGCACAATATCAAAAATATAACCAGACTGCCTCGAGAGACAAAGAAGCATGCGGTGGCAATTATCTTTCATGATGAAACATCCAAGACGTTTGCCTGTGAGTCAGGTAAGCAATTACTGGCCCATCTACTGCTTGAGGAAAGTGAGATGCTTCTGAGACAATGACCCAAATCGATTAAGATACACTACTAAATATGATGGCTTATTGTAATGAGAATGTGCCGGAGCAGACCTTAGTAAAAAGCTCAGCATGTTAGTTTATACAGATATTTTGAGATGTTACTGATGTCAGCTGGTTGTTGTCTGTGTCTGGATTTTCCTTCCGGGTGGTCTGACTCTTGAAGTTGCCATTCAGTCTTTGAGAATTAAGCAAACAATACCTGGCAGATATTGCTAGGGTGATCATGTGACTAGTATTCTGGTTCTTGCCTAGTGGAGGTATAGGCATTTGGGAGGGCTCTGATCACCCTGCTGCGTGAAATCATGGCAAAGCACAGCCTGAGTCCCCAGATGTTTCAAACAAAACTTGGAGCAATTTGTTGCTTTCAAGGATTCTCAATACTACAAGTAAATACATTTCAGATTGAATTTTATCATCCCAGTTCATACAGCCATCTGACATTATTGAGACATAATGCAGTTTATAGTTTCAACTTGCAGTATTTTTCATGTTGGAATCTCTGTGCTATTGGCTTATCCCTATTAGCTGGCTTTTCACTTTTTAAATATTTTGTTCAATGAAATGGAACATTTGTTTTATAAGGGATGTTGGCAAAAATTACTAATGGCTTAGAAGATGTGAATTTAAATTAATAGCTGAGTCCTTAGGAAAAGCTCTGTTGAGTATTTTTAAAAGAAAAATAATGTGTCTGGTTTTATGCAGTTAATGCTTATAGATATATCTAACACCAGGTTGTATTATTCTAAAACCAGTAATGACACTAACTAAAATTGCTCACATCTCCTTTCCTACACTTATCTTAGTTTTGAAACTAATTTGAAATTTTCAGTGTTCATTCCTTGAGTGTTGTTATCCATCTGTTCTGGCATGTTTTTCTTACTTGCCATTTGACCTAATTTCATCATTAACAATTGAATTTTTGGAGTTGCAGAAGTCTATTATTTGGTGACAAAATCCCCTCCCCTTTTATAAAATAGAACCCATCCCAACTTTGCTTGTGTAATGTGTTATCCAAAAATTTTTCTGCCTTCTTATCCACCATCTTAACACTATCTAGCTACTTTATTTTTCTCCAATCCCTTAAAATAATGCCTTGCTAATAACAACCAGAAAATTGGTTTTCAAAAAAAAGAAAATTGTTACTATTTTAATTTTTTGCTGTTGTTTAACACTTCTGAAAGTGTACTGAGAAATGTTATGACTGTATAGGAAAATACTAGAATCCATTATTTCAAAAAGAATTATATTTGTTTATATTTAATTATGTAAAAATGTTATTTACGTTGTCTTTGGAAAGCTATTGACCTCTACTTCATATTTACTTAATAACTTAATCATTCAATATGTTGCTTCTTTCCATCTTATAATCTTGAATCCCATGTTAGAGTAAAAACACCACTTACTGCAATTTTATGTACTTACACAAATGATTTTCTGATTTACATTGTTATTATCTACTTGCCATTTAACTTCCTAATGGTTCTAAAATAAAGTAGGCTTGAGAATATTATATAGCTTATGAAACTTCACTGTTTCAAATTTCTAAATCCTACAATGTTGAAGAAAATATATATATTCACATTTTTTGTGTGTAAATACTATTGTGGCTCCATAACACTTTTCTATGTCATTTATCTTGATATCACCTTACTGTCTTCTCTCTCAAAGGTCATGGGATATGTACCAATGGATCGACTGAAATCAAATTTTTTATCTACATTCTGATACTGAGATATTTTGATATCAGAACATAAATAAAAATTTTGATTTCAATTGATCCATTGGTATATATCCCAACTGCTTAGTTTATAAATGTTACTATCCATAATATATTGATATTGGTATATTAATTCAGAAACTTTTATGCACATAGTGGAAACTCAGCAGTACTAATGTATCTATTATGCCTGAGAAAAAAGTATGCTTGGATGAATATTTTTAATTTGAGCAGACAACTGAGGACCAGAACGTTCAAGAGAGTAAATGTGATAACAGGCAACTGACCCCCAGCACCTCTAGTCCTGATGTCCTGATGCTGTAGTCAGAGCATCTCATCTTCACACTCAGTGCAAACAAAATATACTCCTCACTAGGTTGACTTCACAAGAGTATTTAAAAATGTTATTTAAAGACCATAAGGAAGGCCGGACACGGTAGCTCACACCTATCATCCCAGCACTTCGGGAGGCTGAGGTGAGAGGATTACCTGAGTCTGTGGGTTTGAGACCAGCCTGGGCAACTTGGTGAGACCTCACTCATCCTTAAAAACAACAACAACAACAACAACAAAAGAACCATAAGGATTTAGAATTTTAAAAGAAAATTATCAAGCACACCTAGCATCCAGATCTTTCTTGGTTTCCAATAACAGGAATAAGGGCTTTTTAAGAGAAATGGCTGATTCTAGGATTAGGGCATGAAATACACAAGATGAGCCCAGAGCGTCTTGCAGTACCAGAAAGTAGAGAAGTACTAAAAAAAAGTCAGGGTATGTCAAAGGAATGCAAGAGTTCCCAAAGGCCAGATTCAGAGCAATCTGGGTAATGAAATGTAGTATGGGATGATAACCCAAAGGATAAAATAAATAACTATGAACTAAATGGATATCAACAAATTAGCAAACAAATGAATGATAAAGGATAGATGAATCTCCCATGCAGAATATCAAATAATGTATGTAGATACTCTGCCCACCGGAGGTAGAGCATAACTCCCAAATCTTTAGTGTGGGCTGTTTGTAGTGGCTTCTTTCCACAGACAGTAGTATAGGAAGGGTGTAGGGCAGGGGAAGAATAACTTCACAATAGAGAAGCCTGACAGACACTACCTCAGCCAGGTGATCAAGGTCAACATCAACAATGAAAGATAAGTCATGTTGATAGTATCTACCCTTGATAGGATGTGATTTTTTTTTTAAATGACACTTTTCCTCTGTGGTCTTCCTTCCAGTGACTCATATCACCCAATTAGAAAAGCATAAGATAAATCCCAGTTAAGGACATTTAAAAAAAATACCCAAGCAACATTTCTCAAAATGGTCAAGGTAATCAATTACAAGGAAAGTCTGAGAAACTGACACAGCTAAGAGGAGCCTAGGGAGACATGGTGACTACATGTAATATGATGTTTTAGATGGGATCCTGAAACAAACAGGAAATGGACAATAGGTAAAAACTGAGGAAAACAATACATTCCCATGATTAATTAATAAGAATGTATCAATATGGTTCATTAACTTTAACAAATACACTATTCCAATGTAAGATATTAATAATAGGAGAAATGGGATACAAGCTATATAAGAACTTTGCAATAATTCTTTACATCTAAAACTATACCCAAATAAGTTTATGGAGGTGACATAAAAAAATATATCAGTGAACTAGATTAGATGCAACTATAATGGAAATGTAGCGTATTTTAAAGAATATATTTAAAATCAGTAAAGAAGAATTGGATCTTATAAGTAGGGTTGAAAAACTAAATTCTTGCACTGTCCTATTATGGTGCTTTCAGAAGTGCTTTCAGAAATGTTTTCAGAAAAATTAAGTGATATGTGTTGTTTCTTTTTTTTTTTTTTTTTGAGTTGGAGTCTCACTCTGTTGCCCAGACTGGTGTGCAGTGGCTGCTTCCGGCCACCGCAGCCTTGACCTGCTGGGCTCCGACGATCCCTCCGCCTCAGCCTTCTAAGTAGCTGGAACGACAGGCATGCGCTACCACGCCGGCTAATTTTTTGATTTATTGTAGAGATGAGGTCTCACCAAGTTGCCCAGGCGGGTCTTGAACCCGCGGGCTCAGGCAATCCACTCACCTCAGCCTCCCAAGGTGCAGGATTACGGGTTGAGCCACCGAGCCGGCTTGTTATTTCTTAACAACGGAAGTGACAGGACTAAAATCGCTGCCACTGTCCAGTGTCTTGTTAGGAAATTTTAGATACTTGCCTAGAGTCATAGTTAATAGTGAAGAACCAGGACTAAAGTCGAAATGTGAGGGTCCCATTTTTCAGCAGAAGGCTGAGTCTTGCCACATGTTCTTTTAGTGAACTGAGTACCCGCTTCAGAGTCATTCTAGTATACTGTTTTATCGCTGACTTTGAAATACTTATCCAGGCCCTGCCTGGTGTTCGCTGAAGTGCTGCTGGTGGTAAACTCATCTCAGATTTGTATGACAAATGCAAAGATCACAAGATGACTTACTACTTGATGCTGATTTCATACTGCAAAAACTTATCATCATAGCCCCTAGACTTGTAATTCTGCCCGCGTACCCTACAGAATACTCTGTAGACATTTGTTACCAGTGTATGGATAATGTAAAACCTCTGCCTGAATATGCTACCTTGATTGTAACATTGCCATCACAACTATTGCCACCACATTTGTTAGTCTCTCCCATGAATTCTAGCTATCCTAAAATATGTAAATCTGTGGAAAACTTTACTCAGTTCTTGTTGGGTTAAATATTGAAATTAAGACGGATGTATTTGTAAAGCATAACTTTAGGGAAATTATTTTGGATGTTATTATAGTGATTTGTTCTTAAGGAAAAGCGTTTGTAAAAAAAAAAAAAAAAAAATGGGACCATAATTGTATTTTTAACTAGGACTATTTCAAAATATAAACATCAAATTAGACCACTAATATTATTCCAAATTGAAACTGACAAGTACTCATCTCACTAAATCACAGTGAGACCTTTGAATCTGTAATTTAAACTAAGTACTGCCAGTTATTTTTAAGAAAATCAGAGAATTTCCATATTTCTGACTTGGAGTTTTCCCACTGCCAATTACCAGTGAGGGGAAAAATGACTTATTTGATATGCTAATTAAGTAACTAGTATTTGTATAACCATAAAAGACAAGATTTTATAGTTTTTTTTTTTTTTTTAAGTTTAACATACAAAATCCCCTTGCTGACAAAGAC